CTGAAGAAATACTCTAATTCAGAGGAGGCTCTTGTGAGGCTGCTGCCAGTGGTCAAAGCTTCCAAGAAAGCTCTGTAAGTACAGAGACAGTTAGACTTAATTAGTATTAAATACACTGAAATCTTTTGCCTGATGAGAAAGGTTAAAGTCTAACTTGATTGTTTTCTATTATTATCTCCTCAGACTGAATGGTTATACTCTCTCAGACGTAAGCTTTGCAGCTCTGTCCTCAGTTCTGAGTTCAGAGTCCTGCAGTCTGAAGGAGCTGGACCTGAGCAACAGCAACCTGCAGGATTCAGGACTGACCCAGCTTACTGCAGCACTGGACAATCCTCACTGTCAGCTGGAAACTCTCAGGTCAGACCAACAGTTAGTGAACTGGTTTTGATTGACTCCTCTTGAGTGAGGACCCAGTTTCCTCTGACTGACTGGGAAGTCTGTTTCTGGTATGAACTGTTGTGTTTGGGCAGCACAGTGGTTCAGTGGTTAGTGCTGTCGCCTCACTGCTAAAAGATCCCTCTTTTGCATCCCAGCCTGAGCCCCCTGCCCGACCCTACAGAAGATTATTCCATCTATATGTGTTGTGTTTATTTTATCACAAAATGTAGGTCTATAGAAGCACTGTCCTGTCTTTTCTTTCATGCTGACTCAGCATTAAAAGTGACTGTAATTTAAATTAAACAGCCTTCCTCTTTATTATCATCTCCTCAGACTGAGCACCTGCAACCTCTCAGAGAGCAATTGTGAGGTTCTGTCCTCAGTTCTCAGCTCTGAGTCCTCCAGTCTGACAGAACTGGACCTGAGCAACAACAACCTGCAGGATTCAGGAGTGAAGCTGCTTTCTGTTGGACTGAAGAGTCCTCACTGTAAACTGGAGAGTCTCAGGTCAGGATTCATTAAACTGTTTTAATGATGACAGTTTAAAATGTGTTTTCATTTATGACCAACATGTCACCTGAAGCGGAAGGATTTCTGTAGTTACACAACTTACAGATCATGTCCGATTCTAATCTAAGTTTTGGGACCCTTTGAGCCCAAACACCCAACAGAGAAAACCCATTTTGACCATAGGTAAGGGTTAACATATAGACTGATGAGTAAGACCTTTGCCTAATGGCTCAGTTCCGTTTTCACCATAACAGTCAAGTTCAACGCCTGCATTATTGCTGACACTGCACCAATCCGTCTGTCCATCTCACACTTCATTTTCCTGTCACTCATGAACAAAATGGCAAAGTTGTGACAGAAACGCACTTCAAACCCAGAGGGAGCAATCCACCAGTTTCCGGCAGAGCACTACAGCCTCAGTCCGACATCTCCAGGTGGAAT